GATCTCCAGTGCCGCCCTTGGATCCACATGACTGCCGTGCTTCGGCTCTCTTCTTCATTACCTGCTTGGATTTTCGACTCTCCTCTTGTTTGGTACCTCTTTGTACCGAGTCCTTCTAATAGTCTTCTTTGCCTCCTCATGAGCTGTTCGGAAAACTACGTAAACTTATTTTCCTGCGACGTGCTCAGTGTTTACCTTTCCGTCGAACTTATCTCTACATAGGAAGTAACTGGAGCTCTTCGTGCAGTTTGTGACTCTGTAATTGACTTCTCTGCACATAAACTCACAGCCGATCTGACCTCTGCCTCACATTTAACTGCAATGTGGCTGTACCTAATGCATCGGTGACACCGCACAATCATCACTCTCCTTTTTATTTAGCAGCTCATTAATCCCACTTTTATGCGCTGTAAAGTCTCCAGCCTGTCCGCATCTTCCGGATCGGTGACTACAACTGCGAGCTTGATCGCAATTAGGTCCGAGGACCATCACCCACCTGCATCCAGCCTTATCGAGTTCTTTTTCCAGCGTCTGCTTGACCTCCTCCTCCTGGGTAAGGCAATCAAAGTGGCGAATATCCTTATTCCCTTTTATTGGGGTCGTCTAGCTTCGTTGCTTTCGCCTCAATTTTTCGCACCGGCATTGGGAGCACCTCTACTTTGGTCCTGTTACCTGTTTGTGTTCGAGTCTCTTCTGGACTCCCACCCTCTATACTCTTTCTCCTCGCGTCTAGGATTGCGCGTTTACCGTGGCGCTGTCTTCCCTCTTTCTGTTCCATACGGTTCAACTGTGTGCTTTTCAAAATGCAGATCAGATTTGGTCTGCAACCTGGCACCACAGGCTCAGTGGTTTTCGAGGTTCCTAAATCCAAATTGATTGGCAGATTCACAACCATCTACTCTGAACAAATTTATATAACTTTTGTTCTAATTTTAACAATTTTTCTTATTTTTTAGACAACCTTTTTTTGCAATATGCAAATAATTACATCAGCAGAATTCAATTATACCAAAAATTTAATTTTTACAAAAGTGTAGCAATTGTATCTTTCTACTTTTCAAAATAATTTAAAATGGATTGTTTCTTTTCACTTTTCACTGTTTAGATTATTTATAATAAATACATGAAGTAAGAAATAGTATTTGTTTTTTCGCTATGTTTTACTACTTTATTGTTTCTATTGGATCTTATAATTGAAATTTAATAAAATATTGCATTGCAACTTTTTAATAATATTTCCATGTGATATAATTTTCGAGGTAATATTTTGGAAATACTGTCATGTAATATATGTACGATTAAACGAACTTACTTAAGTGAAGTTCAATCGTAATTATACGAACGCCTTGTTCGAAGGGATCACAAAGTAATATTATTTATATCCACTAGCGTCGTCACAAATTAGAGAACAAAAAAGGGGGCCTCTCTCCTTCTGATTCTTTAAATCTTGTTCATTCTTTTTAGAGATTTTTTAAAAAGCTTTTGCAGTTAAAGCAAGGCTTATACTGTGTGCTTTAAATCTCTGATCAACACTGCATGCAAAAAATACATCCTTAATCCAACAATTTAACGTTTGAGATCCAACTTCCATACCAACTGTTACTTATGTGGTTATTTTAAACCAATCAACGTCGAAGCTATAAGTTCTGTTAGAAGAACTTAAAACTTGTAGAAGAAATAATATATATATATACAAAAAAATGTTCATATTACGGAACAAAGTACTTGTGGCTCTATGTTCAGGAGCCCTAATGGTGGTAATAATAGACCTGGAGAGGATTGGACGAATGGTTATGGTATTGGCTTATTTTCTGTACGATTCTAAAGAGAACACGTCAATAGAGTTTTGCAGGTTAGTAAACTTTTGTGAGCAAAAACATCTACCTTTTCAGACGGGCTGCAATGATAACTCTCAATATACTGTATGGGGAAGCACCAAGACCAACCAAAGGGGACAAGATTTAATAGAATATCTAGTAGGAATAGGGCTAGATATATTCAATACAGGTTAAATTTCGACGTTCACTAATGCAATCAGGGAATAGGTGATTGACATCACTTTCTGCTCTAGAAGCATTGTACATAAGGTAAAAAATCAGGAAAAGAAGCAGGCGCAAAGCGCCTACATCTAGGGTTTTGTGGCTTTTCAAATTCAGATTAAAAGTTATTTGTATATAATAAATAATTTAAAATAATATAATTACATTATTTGGGAATAGCTATGGTTGCTCTGGTAATGGTTGCTATGGAAACGGTTGCCATGGTAACGGTTTCTATGGAAATGGTTGCCCTATTCTCTTACAATGAGCTGTAGACGATACGGTAAAACAGTTAGTGCGGCTTACCAGGTCTAGTCTGACTCTCGGTTATGTTCCAAAAGTATGGAGAAGGTTGTCTAGGTTGTCTTTATATCCAAAAGAAGAAAGAACGGATATACCTCCAATCATCCTGACATCTTTCATCCTGAAAATGGTAGACAGACTAGTGGATAGACTACACTAGTTCACCTGATAGATGACAGCTGCAGACCAAAGCTTATGCAGTAGGCGTCTTCATGGATATAGAGGGGGCGTTTTATCACACTTTTTCGGAGGTCATAAAGAAGGCCATGACTTGAAACCCTTACCTCTATTTATTAAATCAGATGTGGCGAAAGCTGTCCAGAGATTACGTAGGAATAGATGCCGCAGAGAAATAGGAAGGTGGCGTCTTCCTAAAGATTTAGGCAAAATGGACTAATGCTTCTCTCTGATATACAGATGGTTCAAACGAAAAGAGCGGTGCTGGTGTAGGAGTTTATCAAGAATCAGAAGAGGTGTGGTACTCGTATTGTCTGAGGTCCACCACTTCTGTCCTACAATCCGAAATAATGGACATATTCTATGGTACTACTGAGACCTTAGAATATTGCAGACAGAACTCGGCTGAAAAAACTTGTACAAGAAAATATACATGTTCTTGTACATATTCATTAATGAACTTGTACATTTTCTTGTACATGTTCAAGTAATGTTCTTGAACAAGTTCAGCATCCGGAATTGAGACATGTTCTTGTATCAGAACTTGTAAAAGATCCTGGACAAGAAATTATACTTGTACAAGTTAATGTACATGTTCTTGTACATATTTTTTGTACAGGTTTCATGTACAAGTACTTTTACATGAACACGTTTATGTTCTTGTAGAACAACATTTGTTTAAAAATGATTTTGCAAAAAAATTTGAAAATTTAATAAGTTATAATTATTAAGACTTCACTTATGCATGCTAAAAATTATTATCACAGTTAGTTGAAGGATGCCATAGCACTCAACAGACTAGATGAAAATAACCACGTTACCCTCTTCTGGGTCCCAGAACACAATAGAATTAAAGGTAACAACATAGCGGATGAACTGGTCAAAATAGGAGCTTGGAAACAATGTATCGGACCTAAGCCGATGGTTGGTTTCTCTGACAAATGTCTGGTCCTGGAATTTAAGCAGTGGCGAAAAACAGAGCATCAAAAACAGCTGCAGGCTGTAAACAAGCCAAGGCACTCATTGCAAATAATATAGATCTAAAAAGAGCTACGGAATTCCGCAACCTCAATAAGAAAGAGGCGAAAACCGTAACAAGCCTTTTAACCGGTCACAGACACTTACGCTATCGTCGACATAAAATGGGTGTTGCTGAAGTTCTAAAACTTAGGAAATGTGGAGAGGAAGTAGAAATCTCATCACATCCCTATTGGAAAATCTCTACAACATCCCTACAAGGAATCCTTCAAGGATTTCCTGTAAATTCTTATAGGATTCTTTATAGAAACCTATGTACGTTCCCACAAGGGGAAATTATATGAGTTTTCCTATAGGATTCATTATATCTTCCTATAGGCCTCTTATAGGAATTCATATAGTTTCGTACGTAGAATCCTACAAAAGATGTCGAAAAATATAAATTAAAAAAAATTTTATTTATTTTTTTATTTATGTAATTGTTGCCTTGCTTAATTTTCGATTTCTAGCAAATATTTTAAAATAAATTTTGAGGGACTGGGGATTGAACCCGGGTTCGACGCGCGCTAGCTAAAGAGTCTATACACTAACCTAATCACCAGCTGTAGAGAAAAACAGAAATCTTCCTTACACTCTGCAATCTAAAGTTTCCACTTACAGAGTATGAGGAAGATTTTTGTTTTTTTCTGCAGTTGGTGGTTAGGTTAGTGTATAGAGTCTTTATCTAGCGCGCGTCAATCCCCGCCCTTGTGAGGAAACACGTAAGAACTGGACAATCTGCTATTAATCGACGAACTATGATGTTTATTTTCTCCCGTTGTGCGACAACGCGAAGAACAAAAAACGAATGACCAAGATGGCAAAAGACCAGTGAAAGAAAGGCTCTCTTTTTTGTTCACTAAGTTGTAACGACGCGAGTGGATAGAAATAATACTATTTTGTAATCCTGTAAATGAGGCGGGAAGTATTATTTACACAAACCGTTATGTTAATTTTTAAAATTGTTCAATCAATTTACCATGCTATATGAGAAACTCTTAATTTAAACCTACGTAAAATCGACGCAAATATATGCATCTACCCAGTGGGCAAAAAACCATGTTCGTTCTAAAAACGTTTTTAAAACGATTCATGTCCCCCAAATAATGTTCTAAAACATTTTAAGGACATAGATGTTCAAATAATGTTCCAGAACATTATTTGTCAGGCATAAAACGTTCTAAAAACATTCTTAAAACGTTTTTAGAACGAACATGGTTTTTTGCCCACTGGGTAACTTACACGTGTTTTACAATAAATTTAATAATAATACACATTCCATGTCATACCATATAAAAATTTGATATATGAAAAAATTATGGTTTCAAAATAAGAAAAAGTTCTTATGAAATTTTATTTCTTTAAAATTATTGTAGATATTAAATTCAAATTTTTTTTGTTGAATAGATAATTGGTTACATCTTATGAAAACATTGCTGTTATTTTTATTATTCATGTACACAGGGTTAAACTTTCTGGTGAAAGGTGATCAAGTTAAAAAGGGCATCTCCATTGTGATCTGAAATCTTGACGTAATGAAAGTGGGGGAAAAGAATGATGGCTGACACACCGATGTTAGAACGGTTCTAAACTGTGCGCTATGGAAACAAGTTTCAACTATTTTTATTAAATAAGAAAAGAAAATTGCTTGGAATAGCAGAAGCTTACAAATTTGCCGAATGCACATCGTCAGCAACAAATTTTATAGAACGGGAAAATGTTTTACATGTCGGGCATGTACTATTTTGTAAGAAGAAGTGAATGACAAATATTATTTCTTATAAGATTATTTTATTCTGTTTCCAAACAACATATCTGAAGAATTCCATTTATGAAATCAAAGAAGAAATAAATCTTAATGGAAATATAAAAGAAATTAACTGCACGTAATATTAAAAGTGCAAGCATATAGATGCAGTTTTATTGCACTTGCACGTAAGTATTAAAAAATGTATCATTTTATATTCAAAGAGTTAGTTTTTTAGTTTCTAAACTTTGAAGGCTTTCTAGGTATTCTATGCTTATTTTTAAGATAGTGTTCTAGTTCGACATGAAAAAATCTATTTTTTAGTATTTATGTGCACAGTAATGTTCAGCAGCAAGTTTCAATTAAGGCTTAAAAAACAATTTGAGAAAAATTAATTAATGTTGATAATAGGTAATGTGTACAAACATGGCGCTTTTAGATTATACCTGACGTCCGAGTGTAAAGCCAATCATTTATTGTCCCGTTTGAAAATGGCGTCCACTTTTGCCCTAGGGTAAAAATTAATAAATGGCTTTTTCACCCGGCCATCAGGTAACCTAAAAGAGCGACGTTTGTGCCTTTAAAATAAAAAATATCCGAAGTAACATGGAACCAAAAAGAAATATTTTTTCGCAGATGTTTGCCAATATAAGATTATACTAAACTTCACCACCTCATAATAATATTCTATTAAAACTAGAAAATCTTCCTGACTGAACCTTGACGGAGTTCAGTCAGATCTTGGTTTTCACAATCCACCAAGAATATCTTACGTTAGCTCCTAATAGTATATCAACTCAAATTTGTCTAGGTATTTATAAGAACACTGGCGGATTCAATATATCCAATGTTTGTTCAGCTCGGTGGATATTGGATAAAAACAGTAAAAGTCATTTAAATGGTGAAATATTGTGAAAAAAGTTATGAGCAGGTTAAAGGGATAGTTGGAGAGTCATTGTTGAATATTGTTCAATTTGAAATCACTGCATTTAAATGTTATGAATTTAAATATTCATGTATATGGTTTTTACCCGACGACAATTAAGAATCTACCTATCTGCTTTCAATTAATTTATATGAATAGTGTGGATTAGGAAGAAACGCATACGAACTTGTTTCAGATATCAAACGACAACCAAAGTTGATGGACTCAAAAAGTTTTACTAAAAAAAAAAATATATATTTGTTATAATACTTAGGTTTCAACAAGAATATTCCAGTGATATTAAAGGAATATTCCAGTGATATTGAGGGAATATTTCACGCTTATGTTTAATTTTTTTTAAGTGTTGTTTTAAAAAAATCAACATAACCGTGAAATATTCTCTCAATATCACTGGAATATTCCCTTAATATCACCTGAATATTCCCTCAATGACACTGGAATATTCCCTGAATGTCACCGTGAAATATTGCCATGATGCGGACATTTTGATTTTTCTAGAAGATCATGAGAATATTCCACTGTGGTATGCAAGGGATATTCAGGGAATATACCGTGCTGCTTGGGTTGTTGACTACGGATTCTAAATAATGTTATCACTGTAAAATTTCTCGTTTTATAAATTCGTACAGCTCATTTTTGCAATTTACAGTAAAATCGTTAATACACGAACCGCTTAAATTGCATTTATGTTTGTTTTAAATTTAAATTTAAACATTTAAATTGTTTAAAAAAACAATACACGTGATTGTTGTATTCAGTCTCGTTGCAAAAAATGCTCGGTCATAATACTGTTCTTTCGGAAACGACAGAGACAGAAGATTCGTCGAATATAATACCAAATTTATCAGTGTCTGTTTCGTCCGTCACGGCTAATAACACAATGTCAAAAAGGATACGGGTACTGTTAACAACAAAAATAATAATTAGATGGAGATGATATTTCTCACGATTGTCGCGCGTTTTTAGATTTCGCCTCGCAGTCTAATTTCACAACAGAAGATTAGCGTAAAAAGATCAAATTGAGCACAAAACCTATAGAAATAAATATTTCGGGAATTAAATAGGAAGAGTCGACACTTTTTACTCTGAAACTTCGTTTAAATGTCACATTACCGTCTAAAGCAGAACAAGAGATTATTTTGGGGGATTCTAAAGAAATGTCAATGAAAATATTTGTGTCTTTAGAAAAAAATAAATGACAGATGACTTTTGGCCCAGACATTGAACGTCTAGATACTTTTTTCAACTCTTCAAGCGTGAAGAGTTCCTCTTTGCCTTGGCACCAATTTCTTGGTGACAATCTTAAAGGCCAATCCCCATGGGTCCCTTTTTGATTCTCCGATTAGGTCCTGCCAGCAACGGCGTTGGCTACTACTTACTGCCCTTTTGAAGATCAGCCTGGCTTTATGCCATTTTTCTCGCAGCTCGGAGTCTCCCTTCTTCTTGTCTGCCGGCGAGGCATAGCGTGGTTGCAGGCATCCACTATTATCTGCCTCACGCACTGTTCCCTTTAGAGAAACTGGCTTCGTCATCCAGCTGAGCTCGTGAACAAGTCTCGACTCTTCCAGAGACTAAACATACTGAAACTGTAAAGGAACTGGGTTTAACTATGGATAGAAGGTTAACGTGGAGGAATCATGTTTTGGAAATTACACGTAGAACATATACGGTGCTGCAACAGTTAAATAGAAATAAAGAATCTTTACCGGTATCAACACGATTACTATTAATCAAGTCCCTTGTACTTCCTAACTTTGATTATTGCTGCACCGTTTATGATGACATAACTGAGGAATTAAACAACAAACTGGAGAGAGCACTGAATGCATGTATTCGTTTCATTTACAATGTGCCTAAATACGAACATATTACGCCATTTAGAATTAAGGCTGGTCTATTAAATGTTGCTATGAGAAGACAGTTTTTATAGGAAACATGTTACATTCCATATTCAAATCCAAATCTCTTTTGTACCTGTATGAGTTTTTTGAATTTATGAATACGAATGATTCTGCTCATACAAGATTGCGACAAAGAAAATGTATATTAAAAATACCTGTTCATAGAACTTGTAAAATGCAGAGATCATTTATTGTTAGAGGAGTTAGATTGTGGAACAAGTTAACAATAGAGATTAGAGAGGCATCAGAAAAGTTACTTTTTAAAAAGCGTTTTTTTGAATTTCTATCTCAAAAAGGTAGTAGAATTTTTGATATAACATATTGGTAATTGCAAGTGATTATTAGTATTTTCTATAATGCAATATTATATAATATAAAATAGTATTCATCGATGAAATCTGAATATCATGCACAACAAATTATATTTTTTTCTTTTTTTTTGTTATCTTTAAAATAATTTTGATTGTATTTCAAACAATAATATTATATCATCATTTTCCTTTTTTTCTTTTCATTAATATAAGACTAGAATAAATAAAACAAACACTATAAAGTAGTAAATTTCAGTATTATATAATTATAAATTGTTAATTTTTTTATATAGAGTTTATTGGTATAACTTTAGTAGAAAACAATGTATTCTGTTCCTTAGAGGACTCATTAGTCCTAGGAACATATGTTAAATAAATAAATAAATAAATTAGTAGTAGTAGACTCTACCAGTTTCTCCCTGTGCAGTCTCTTGAGGTTCCATGAGGGACATTTACTGCTTCTTTGCAGTCTTTTATGCCCTCTAGGAATTTCCTCCGAGACTGAAAATTCTATATACTGGTGATCGCTCATGGGCTCTTCATCCAGCACCTTTCATTCTTTAATCCTGCGAGCCAGGCGGGGAGAGGCGATGGTTACATCAAGAATAGATCCTGACTTACCCCGCCTGAAGGTGAACTCCTTCCTCCTATTTAGCACCACCAGACCGTTTGCGGACAACAAGATCCCTCTCCTGTCGAGGCGAGTCTCTCCCCATTCCGGAAACTTACTATTAAAGTCCCCCGCAATGATGAGATCCACGTCGAAAGTCTTAAGACTATCTTCAAGAGAGCGGATCTGGGCTTCGAACTTTGCAATGGGATGGTTTGGAGAGAAGTAGCAGCTGTAAATACGTACACCCGCCACCTCTATCCTAACGAAACCGCTGCGTGTCTCTCGATAACCGCTGACAGTGTTGTTCGGGTTGCATGTTATTATGCCTGCTCTCTCTGATGCATCCTAGAACCAGTTTGAGAGTCCTCACTTCTTATACTGCTCACTAATGCGCAGTATATTAGCTCTTCTCTCCCTGGCAGTCTGCATCAGGAGATCCTGTGCGACACTTCTTCTACCGAGGTTGACCTGGAGAAATCTTTGCTCTTTGCCTTCAACCTCTCCCGGGCTGCCCTGTAGATCGGACATGCCCCGCTTCCTGGGAGGTGGTTCGTCTCTTTCATCCCGCTATCTAAGCAGGATGCACAGACTGGAACTGCCTCGCATCCTCTGTGCGAGTGGTCTGCTGAACAACACCTCCAGCAGGCTTTGCTCCTATCGGGGTTTTTGCATGTCCGGGCTAGATGGTCGTACCCAAAACATCGGTGGTATCTCTCTACCTCCAGTTTTTGTCTGATACGGCAATTTATCCAGCCGATCCTCACTTTTTCCGCCTTCAACAGAGAATCTGCGTCTGCTTCAGGGAGCTGGACTATTGCTACCTTAGCTCCGCGGTTCAAAGTGAGGAGTCTACAGGGCACCTCCAAGTCATCCTTTTTCAAGGCCAGCTGTATAGCTTTGATGACGTCGTCGACTCCCGTAGTCTCGTCTAGGTCTCTAATTTCGAGTGTCCTTCTCGAGACTATCGGGACGACGTTTGCCTTCTCCTTCAGGACGTCGGTCAACGCACCGGTTAACGTCGAGACTCCCTGGTCTCTACGGAGTACAAGCAGCAGCTCTTGCTTCCTTGTCCTCTGGATGGACAAGACCTCCGTGTTCGTATCGGCGGGATTGACCGACGTCTTCATTTGCCTCAGAATGTCGGCATAGGACTCTCCGTCCTTCGCCGACACTCTGATGGCTTTTGTATTCCTCGGTTTTTTGGAGAATTTTTCCCTTTCTCCGTTTTCTTATTTTTTCTTTTTAGAAAGGGCCTATTTACACTCTCCATCCGTTTTTTCTCCTCTCTGGACACTGGCCATGGTTTCGCCACACGTGTTGACAATTATCATTGTGCTTTTATTCCGTAATGATTTTTAAACTCGCACTGTCTGAATCTTGTCGTTTTTTTAAACATGATTTATAAGCTCTAAAATCC